CCCCCCCGCGTCCCGGGGCATGCCTCATGCTCCGGATGGGGGAGTCTCCTTTCGTCGAGTGGTGAGCCTCTTAAGCATCCGCCCCCGGTGGCCGTGTGTACTCCAGCCTGTACAAGCCCAGCCACCTCACCTACACACCACAGGAGACTCTACCCTTTTTGCTCTCCTCCCCCCTCCCCCTCGTTCTGCCTCCCGCCTCTTCTCTGCGCCCGCCGTCTGTCGCAAGAATACAAACTCCCGACCGCGCCATGTCTGCTGCCACTTCCTCTTCTCCCTCGCGAACCCCCCTCAATGTGGACCTCGTCTCGCTGATGTCCTCCTCGTCGACCCTCCAACCGTCAAGTAATTCGGCCGGGCAACCGTCGGCCGGCGCGGCGGGCAGCATCTCTGCCCCCGCGCCGGCTTCCGGTTGCCCGGCCAAGCGACCCCCAACCACCTCCTCCACTGTCCCTCCCGCCACCGCGGCCGGGACGACTTCCACAAACACCGCCGCCTCCTCGGCCCCGGCCCCGGCTCGCATTGAGCCGAAGATTCGCATCGCGCGCGAGGACGAGGATGTCGAGCGCGCGGCCGAGCTGGTCAGCGCCGCCTTCCAATCGACCGCCCTCGCCGAGTGGTGCTGCATCGACCCCGAGGAGCGCTCCCTCTACCTGGATGCGCTGAATGGCGGGGTCGTTCGCCAAATTGGCCGCGAGGGCCCGGGGCTCGGGCACATTTTCGTGTCCGGGGACTTCAAGGCCACGCTCGTGTGCTCGTATGGCGCGTCACGCATTGAGTTCCCCAAGGTCTACCCCAACCGACGGACCTTCGTCATTGATCGCCTTCTGGAGCAGGCCAACGAGGCCATCATGCCGCCAGACGACCATTGGATCTTCGTCCTCTTCCTGGCCACCGCGCCAGATGCCCACGGGCGTGGCCATGGCCGGTCCCTCATGAAGGTGGCCTGTGCCCATGCCGACCAGCTGGGCTACGCCATGTACCTGGAGAACACAACCTGTACGTTGTTCTTCTTTCCCCCAAATGCCCTGCCCTCCCTTTGCTTCCCATATATCCCCTCTTTCTCTCTCTCTCTCTCTCTCTCTTGGCCTGCAGAGTGGGCTTGCTTGCTCCAGCCAGATCCTGTCGCTCGGCTGAAGTGTGAAGCCTCTCCTCCGGGAGAAAAAAAAAACCACATCATCCCGCCGGGCATTCCCCCATACTAACCCCTCCTCGGCATCATGTGCTTTGCTCCCCTTTCCCCCTTCCCTATCGGCGAAATGCACACACACACACACACCCACACACACACACACACACAGCCAACGAGGCCATCACCAAGTTCTACAAGTCCTTCGGCTTCCGGACTTGGCGCACGGATGTCCTCGATCCGCAAACCGACCTGGTGGTGCATTACATGCGCCGTGAGCCGCGTGTGGCACAGGCCAGCGTCGCTGCGCGCCTGGCCGCGGCGTCGAGCTCCTGTTCCCTGGCCCCCGGGCGCCAGGCCGGCGGAGCTGACGCCGCCCCGCCGAGCCCCCAGACTCTGGCCGAGGGCGCCTCGCGCCGTGGCCGGTCGCCCTCTCCCTCTTCCATCGACCATCCGGACCGTGCGATGGCCTTCGCCGCGGCGGCCGACGCCGTGGTGTCGGTCCAGTCATCGGCCGCCATTTCCCGGAGCCGGCCCCCTCCGACGGCCTTCACCCGCGGGAAGCCGGCGTCTGCTTCGGACCCGGTCATTGCGCCGTCGACGGCCTTCGACCCGGCCGCCGACCAAGTTACCGAGGCGACCTACCACCACCTGGCCCTTGGGTCACCGGAGGCCGCCGCGGCGCTGGCCTCCATCTTGAACATCTCCTCCGGCTGCGGGCAGTGTGCCTGCGATGAGGAGGATGGCGCCCCGCACTTGAACCACGAGACCGACTGCACCAGCGACTGCGAGGAGTTCGAGCTTGAGAACGTTCCCGAGGGCTGGCTCGGTACCGCATCGGCCATTGACTCGGATGCTTCCTATTGCGACTTGCTGTCCAACGTCAGCGGCTCGGACAGCGGCCACAGCTGCGGCGAGGCATCGGACTAATTCCCGCGCGCGCACCCCTGCAGCACATCATATTTATATGATGCACCCTTTCGAATGAGATTGGCTTTTCTCCCCCGACAGTTCCGCCCCCGGGCTCCGCGGCCATACAAACACACACGCACACACACACACGCACACACACGCACACACACACACACACAAAGGACATGCGTGTGCTCCTCTCTATGTTGCTCGATATCACCTTCGTCGCGTCTGCCCCACTTCCCGCTCCCTCTCCCCCTCCGGGGGCGACGATCGTGACTCCCGGTCACGAGCAGACGAAAGCACCTTCGCCGGCGGTGACATCTGCCCGCGAAGGGGCATGCTCTCCAGGAGCGCAGAGGACCCCTCCAGATGTGTCTCTCTCCTCCGTATCCGGCCCTTTTGTGTGTGTGTGTGTGCCTGTGTGTATGCATGTGTCTCCCCCACATGTCCCTCCCCTTCCCCCGCCAGTGTGTGCTGGCCCTTGTGTGTGTCTGTGTGAGTATGTCTCTCCGGCCTGAGGATGAGTGGTCCATGTCAGTGTAGCGGGAGCACGCTCATGAGTGTGCACCTTCTCCCCATCATATTTCCTCACAGATTCAACCCTCTGGGATCTCCCGCCTTCTTACTGGCCCGGCTGCCACGTGTCGTACGCATGCTCAAATACAAATGTGCATGTGTGCGTGCGCTGCGCGTGCGCGGGCCTCTCTCCAACACGGAGAGAACCAATACATCCGCAATTAGTGCACCTTTTGTGTCCCCCTGTGTCTCATTGTCGCGTGTGAATAGCCTGGCTCTCCTTCCTCTCACTCTCCCCTCCAACACCCGCATTCATCGAGCGGAAGTGGCGCGGGCCGTGTGGAGAGGATGCCTTGCCACGAAAGTCAAGCGGCCTGCCTGCTTTGCGCCATTGAGAGATCTATTGTTCATAATGTACACCTGCCGAGAGGGGGGGGGGGGGGGGAGAAAAAGCGAAAGAAGAAAGAAGGGAATGGGCGAGGGTCTTCTCTCAGGTGGCATGGAGCCGCTTGGCGTCCGGGGCATCGGACTCCGCAGGGGAGCTGTCCGAGCGTGGGCGCTTGTTGGAGGGCGGAGCGGCCTCGGTGTCGCCGGCAGCCGAGGCAGCCTCAGCAGACTTGGCGCGCTCTTCCTTTGCCTTGCGGATGGCTGTCTGAAGGAGAGCATCCAGGGAATTGGCCGCCGGCTTGCCAGCTGGCCCGGCTGATGGAGCAAATGCCCGAGCAGCAACCACACCACGATACGTGCCCGTGCGGGTGGCTGCGGGCGGGGAGGGGAGGGGGGGGGGAGGGCCCAGAGGAGGGAAAGAAGGACCGTAAGCGGGGAAGGCGGGCAGATGTGGCGGGAAGTAGGCAACGACGTCGGGCAGAGGCACGCACCACACTTCAGCAGCAGCTGGCTCGGGTTGCTGGACACCAGCATGCGGCTTGTGGACTGGTCGATGCCAAAAAGACAGCCCCTGGATGGCAGATGAAAGAGGATGACCAGGTGCGTGGAAAGGGAGGAGAAGGAGGAGAAGAAGAAGAAGAAGAAGAAGAAGAAGAAGAAGAAGACGTGCGTGAGCAACAACGGCGGCCGGGAGAGACGTGACAATCGGATGGACGCACAGGTTGGCCACATCGAGCGGACTACGAAGCTCTAGAGCGCGCATTGCCGCGCTAGAAAAGATGACATTCCTTCCCTTCGAGTGCCCGAGAAGGATGGAGGCCGTCTGGATGAGGTTTCGCCGGGATCCAGCATCTATGTTCGTTTTTTGGTTGTTTGTTTGTTTTGTGTTTGTACGTTTGGGAGGAAGAAGCACGGGGGCGGGGGCGGGAGACATGCCAGAGGAGTCAGGCGAAAGACGTTGAGTTGCGGAATGACAGCCGGGGTGGACATACCAGACAGGGCGGCGCTGTAGCACACCTCGAAAAAGAGACCACGCGAGATGGCCTGCGAAATGGGATTGCGGCGGAGGGGGAAGCCCAGCCGCCCTCCGGGAGTGGCCCCAACATCCAAACTAATCAGGTCGATGTCGAGGGTGTTGCAGCAGGCTGGATTCCGGAGCAGGGGCCATGCATGCAGTGACAGGAGGTATTAGTCGGACACCGACGAGTGGCACAGCCCGGGAGGGGAGTGAACGCACCGAGGAACATCTTTTCGGACAGCGGCTGGACGGCGACGATGTCATACGACGCGAGGATGCTGCTAGTCGAGCCCTGAGGCGTCGTATATGCGCGCGTGAGTGGGAGAGGGAGAGAGAGAGAGAGAGAGAGACAGTTAGAAGGCACACATTGGTCAGGAACGCCGACAGAACAGGAGCAGCAGGGCACAAAGGGAGGGCCGGGCGAGTCGCACCAGTTGCGACGAATCTGACGGGTTATCCGAGACGTAGGTCATGCGGCTGAGCTGGCGCATGGTGCTCTGGCCATCGATGTCAGCCTTGGATGGCTGACCGGCCGCGGCCGAATGGGCCATGCGGTTACCGGGGCGGGTGGCCGTAGCAGCAGGCGCACCACGAGCCGTCGACACGGGCAACGCCACGGGCTTGAAGGAGCACGTCTTGGAGTATGACCAGCCATGGGGGGGGGGGGGGGGGATGGGGGGGGGGCGGGAGGGGGGGGTGAGGGGGGGGGGGGGGAGGGGGGGGGGGGGGGGTGGGGGGGGGGGAGGGTGGGGTGGGGGGAGGGGGTGGGGGGGAAGGGGGAAGAGGAGGTGGAAGGGAGGAGGAAAGAGGGGGGGGGGGGGGGGGGGGGGGGGGGGGGGGGGGGGGGGGGGGGGGGAATAGGACCACGGGTGGACACTGGCGCACATTGTTGTTGTTTAGCTTTCCAGACATGTATGTGTTCACTGCAACAGCATGGAAGCCAACTGTGTCGACAATGTTAGCGAAGGAGGTAGGTCAGGTGGAGAAGTCGAGCACACGGACAGGCAGGTAGATAGAAATACACACACACACACACACGACTGAAAGAGAGGGACAACAGCATCTGATGGGGGAAAGGCAAGGGCGTACACTCATGGCTCCGGGCCAGCCGGACCGGAATGGGGTCCACGCCATCGCTGGACAGCTTCAGAATCCCAGAGGCCAGGGCCGAGAGGCTGTTGGTCGGCAGGTTCAGATCGTAGTATCGCTCCATCAGGGGCAGGTGGGCAGGCGGGAGGGGCGCCGTCAAAGGGGAGGGGAGAAGGAGAGAACAGGGACACGGGAGATAAGGCCAGCGAGGGAGGAGGGCGAGAAGGGAGAAGGGAGCCGGGTACTTGGAGCCCACAGTGCAGCTGGCAGGGAGGTGGGTGTCCTTTTCGGTCTCGGCCGGGTGGTGCGGGGGAGAACAGGGCGCGAGGCCAGCTCCCGAGGTGGGGGGAGATCGCGGGAGGGCCAAATGGCGCCTCGTGCATCGGGAAATGCCAACGATCGCGCGGCCTGTGTTTGTGTCTCGCATCCTCCCGGCCAGCGGCCCGCCGGGGGGAGGTTTAAATTGCCTGCCCCCGGGGCGGGGGGGAGGGGGGACGGTGACGAGCGTGCGCCCTCTTCCGCTCCCCTCCGGTGATGAAGTGGCATCGGAGATCTAGCCGGCCGTTTCGCCATGCTGGCGGACAAGGATCGTCGGAGGAGGAGGGCAGGCGGGAGCCTTCGTCGGCGGGTCGGCCTTGGAAGGCCCCAAGAAGGGGAACCTCTCTTCTTCCTGCCCACCCTCGGTATAGCTGCGCGTGTGGGCGTATACTCGCCCTCCCTCCTCTCTCTGTGCCTCCCTCCCCCCTCCCCCGCCTCGCCCCCGCTTCGCCCATTGTACCGCCTCCTCCCCCGAAAGGTCGCGCCTCTCCGTCTCTTCCTCCCCCTCGTAGGAGTTGCCTCGCTCTCAGACACACCCGAGGATGGCCCTCCCGAATGACAGGCCGGCGCTTACGGCCGCCACAGCGTTGACCTTTTCGCGCGACGCCCTTCGACTGCATGCGGCCGCGTCTGCCGCCTTTTGGGCCGAGAAAGCCCTGGCGCTGAGCAAATACGAGGATGCATGCGACCAATCGTTGCCATCCTCGTCGGCATCGGCATCGCCCCCGGTCGGCCCAAACCCCCACGCAGCCGGCGGCCACCCCGCACGCGATGTCGACCCCTCCGAGCATATGATGACCACAACGCCGGGACGGCCGATCGCCGCCGCCATGATGACCCCGGCTCCCGGGGGCAAGCCGGATCTCGGTGGCTCGAGCAGCTTCTCGCCCCAGTTGTCATCCATGTTCGAGCACTCTTCGGCATTGGACGCCTTTTCGCCGCGTCTCAGTAGCTCGCTGCTGCCCGAGGCCTCGGACCCGGCTGGTGGGCCGTCCGGAATGCCGGAAGTCGGGCGCACTGCCACCGCAGCCGCCGCCTCGATCCCGCAAATTCTCCAGGAGTACGGGCTCCCGTGCGAGGCTCACTGCTTGCCTGGGCTTCTGGGCGGTCTGCCAGGCGAGGCGCCCTGGCGAGCTCTGCCGGCCACGGCCTTGGCCTTGGTGTCGCTGGCCGATGCGCATATTGCAGCTGGTGACCATGCCCGTGCGGCGGGCCTCCTTCAAAGCCACCTGCACCAGCACTCGGCATTTGGAACCCTGTCGCCGCTGCATTGGTCCGCGTGCAGCAGTGCCGGGGTCCTGGCCGGGGGGTCTTCCCCGCCCGGGGGATCACACGCGGACCAGACCAGCTCGCTGGCTCTTCACCCCTCGGTTCGCTATCGTCTGGCCTTGTGCCTGGTGCGCGCGCAGCCTCCTGTGCCCCTCGCGTGCCCTTCCAATCGAAGCACTGAGCACATCCGCGACCCTCTCTGACATGATCACCCTGCCCCTTGCTCGGGCGGCTAGTTCCAGCAGAAGTCCTTCACGGATGTGCTGGACCTCTACAATCCCTCGCTATTCCCATGTGCGCCATGCCGGACCTGCTTACCACCCATGGCTGGCTCCTACTGACATCCTCCTCCCTGTCCGTCCCTCTTGCCTTCTGTCTCTCTCTCTCTCTCTCTCTCTGCCCTCGCTCTTCCCTCCTTCGTGGGCCCACACTCGACCATGCCCGCGCCTGCAGCCTCGCCGGTGGAGTTGACGCCGCTACGCGCTCCGGTTCCCTTCCGGCCCCTGCTGGCACAGCTCCAGTTCCTGTGCGGCGCGGCGGAACTGGCTCTCGGCCGGCCGGACGCGTCGCGCGCGCACCTTCTTTATGCTCTGGCCATCTGGCCTCTCTGCATCGAGGCGGTGGATGCCTTGATCGGGTATGGCCTGACTCGGCGCGAAGATGGTGCGTTTGCCCCCCCCCCCCCGCACACACACACACACACACACACACACACACACACACACACACACACACACACACACCTTGGCGGTGCTCCTCCCGGGCGTGGCAGCTGTATTGACTCCCTCGATGGCGGGTGGGCGGGGGACCTTCTCACGCCAATCGCCAATGCATGGGCCAGATCTCCGCATCCTGCGCATGGTCTCGCTCATGGCGCCTTTGGCAAATCTGGATCGCGATTTTGTCACCCTCTACCTGCGGAGTCGGCTGCCGACTGTGCGTCATTCCTGCCGATTCCCTGTGCCCCGTGCCGATGTTTTGGTGCCCTGCTGACGGGCCTTTGTGCTGGCGCAGTTTTCCCTCGGTCCGGTGAACAATGAGCTGGCAATTACCCGCCTCTGCCGGAGCCCCTACAATTTGTGTTTCGACCTGGAGACATTGATCGGCTTTTCGCGGTACCGACTGCTGAAGCACGATGACATCGGCGTCGTGGAGCTGTCACGCCTGTGCGTCATCACCCCGGCAAGCTTGCATCCTTTGGTTGCGCCCTCTCCCCTGGGAGCCCCTTTTGCTCGTACTAATCGCGCGGAATGCACTTGCCCTGCAGCGTCCTGTCCACCGACCCCTTCAATACCGACATTTTGCCCTTCTACCTGGCGGCCCTCTTCCACCAGCAGGATGCGGCCGAATTGCTGGTAGTTGCTCACCGCCTGACCACGCGCATCCCACACCGGGCCATTGCCTGGTATGCGGCGGGCTTGCATGCGCTGGTGACAACTGGCCACAGCTTGTCTGCCCTGTCGGCGTCGGCGGTGGCCGCGGCCGATGCCACGGTCCTGGCCGGGCACGCGGCGGCAACTGGACTCGGGCGCGATCCGCTCGGGGCCGGTGGGCCAGGCACCGACGCTGGGGCCGGGGCCGGTGGTGGGATTTTGACTGCCGGACCTGGGTCCGCCAGTGCCGGGGCTGGTGGCGGTGGTGGCGGAGCCGCCGTGGCGCTGGACCACTTCCGCCGCGCTCGCGATCTGGATGCCAACTTCGCCGCTGTGTGGGTGGCCATTGGGCATGTTTTCTCGTCGGGCGGTGACGCCGACCGTGCGCGGCGGGCGTACGGCTGTGCGGCCGTCATCCAACGGGGGTACGCTCATGCTCCCATTCCCCTCGGTGCCGGGGCAGGGAGGCGAGGAGGGCGCAGGGAAACGGCCAGGGCATTCTCGCAAAGGGCTTGCAGCCCCCCTCCCCCCCCCCCTTCACCACTAACAAGCGTCTGGCAGGTCGCACGAGGCGTGGTTGCACGCGGGCGCGGCATCCCTGCACTTGGGGGATTTGGTGCGTGCGCGGAGGGCCATCTCCTTTGCATTGGCGTCGGCTCCCGGCCCGAGTGGCCCGGTGGCCGGGCTTGATCCGAGAGTGGCACCCTTGGCGGAGAATGCCGCCTTGCCGGGGTCGCTGCTTGCTCGGGCGCCCTCATTGGCTGCCTCGCCTCCTTGGGCGGGCGATTTCACCGCACTGAATGAGGCAGCCGTGCTGGCCACGGCCGACCACGAGTACGCAACCAACTTTGGCAACACCCTCCCTCCCCCCAAGCTCCCCGGCTTAGGCGATGGCCCCCTGGTGCGACGCTTCCTAACATGCGAACGGGCCTCCATCAAGTCTTGACAAGGCCGAGGCCTATTCGCAGGCCGCGACACAGGCCGCCACCGCGTGCGGGGCTAATCGCCTATCCGCGGCGTCGTGCTGGCTGAATCTCGGGCACATTCTGCGTCTCAAGGGGTGCGCCTCTGGTTTTCCTGCGGCAGGTGGGGGCAAGGGGCCTGGGAGATGTCTCCCCTGCCGGCTGGGACAGCCCCTGCGCGATGTCCTGCTAATGGCCTTTCTCCTCTTTCTTTTCTTTTTTTTCGCCCCCCCCCCCCCCTCAGGGAATACCATCGTGCTCGCGCTGCATTGGAGCAGGCTCTGCTGCTTAATCCGCGTCACGCGCGCGCACACGCCTGCCTCGGCCTGGTCTGCCAGAAGCTTGGTCTGCCTGCGGCGGCGGCGGCCAGCTATCACCGAGCGCTGGCTTACCGGCCAGACAGTCTCGGCGGAACCACCGGCGGCATGGGGGCCGTGTCGGCCGGGGCGGCCTCCTCCGTAGGATGGTCGATTGCGGGCTTCGGGGATTTGGGCTACTCACCGGCGGCCGTGTGCTTGAGCCGGGCCGGGGGGATTGCCCCGCACTCGCTGGCCGCCGAGTGGTCGACCATCGGCTCTTTCGCGGAGATTGCCGCGGAGGAGGTGTGCGCTGCGGCCGAGGGGAAGCTTTTGCACGCGGCCACGCAGGGCCGCCCGATGGCGGCACCCGCGCCGCGGGACTCCTTGGCCGCCGCGGCTGCGGCCGTGTCCGGCACAAGCTCGTGGCAGGATTGGTCGGCAGATCGGTCGCAAACACTGCTTGGGTCTCTTCGGCACCAGGCTCTCGGCCGGGCGGAGAAGTAGCGACCTCATGCGGGATCGGCCCAAGTCGGCCCTGGTTGAATATACTTTCCGTGGGCCCCGGTGCACGCGGGCCGGCCAGTGGGCTTTATTCCTTTCTCGAGCTGCTCCGCCGCCTGCCCTCGCGCCCCAGCCTCACACTCGGCTTTGGGTTTGTCCCATCCGGACGCGCATCTGTACATGGGCATTCCCTTGCACTTGGATGTCGGCTCAGGTGCCCGTGCAAATGGGCACGATGGGAGGCATGTGTGAATGTGCGGTTCTGTGGACGTGGGCGCGGGCCTGTGCGGCCGTGGGCGCGGACATTCCCCGGGGTGAAGGGGCTGGGGAAATTCTATTGTACAAAGGAAGGCGGCTTTAGTTGAAAAGCAGCGAGCCGTCAGTCGGCTGGAGGAGCCCAGTGTAGACGGCCACAGCGTCCACCAGGTTCATGAGAGAAAGGCCACCAAAAGTCAGCAGCTTGAGGAACCCGTAGCCGATGTGGCCCAGGTAGAAGCGGTCGGCACCGGTCGGCCCAAGAAGGAAACTTCGCATGCCGGGACGAGGGGAGAGGAGCGGGGGGAGGAGATAGGGGGGAGGAGATAGGGGGGGGGGGGGGAGGGACGAAGTCATCAGTAGGTGCCAGGAGCTGACAGGGGAAGAGCGGAGGCCGGGGCAGTGTGGGCGGCGGAGGGAAACCCCAGGAGGAAGGACATACCTCAGCGCAAGGGTGGTCATCTGGTTGGCACCGCCCTGGTTGATCCATGTGCACGGACGGAAGGAGTCGAAGGAGCGCCGTCCGAGGCAGGCCTGGGTGCCGATGGCTGGTTCGCAAATGTGCCACGCATAATGGTGGTCTCGCAGGAGGGAGTTGCACGCAGGCTTCCGAGCCCCGGGGTCCGGGTTCTCCTGGTGGCGGTACTGCGGGTCCTGGGCGAAAACCATCGGCGAGGCTGGCAGGTCATCCGAATTGGCTGGCCGGCAGTGGAGCAGGTGTGCCGGCAATTGGTGGCAGAAGAGGCAGGGGGATTCGCGCTGGACCGTGCGTGGGCCCTGTGTACGCCTGGTCAGCTGGGGTCCGGTTATGGTGGGACCAGGAGCGGGGCGAGGGGAGCATGGACGACGCACAGTGCAGGCCACATGCGGCAAGGCGGTGCAGGAAACGGTGGCCTGCTCGACACCATATGCGCAAGAGGGGCTGGGCTCACACTCGAGCTGGAAGGGGTGGAGGGAGTCACACTGTGTGTGTGTTTGTATGTGTACATGTCAAGGGGTGAAGAAGGATCGACGGAGGGAGGGAGGGGGTGAGCATCGAGGCCGGGAAGGAGCACGCAGGGGCAAAAGGAAAGGTGCGCACAGCAGGGATCGACAGGGCAGCGAAGGCGCTGGCCGAGGTCATGGAGTCATGCGGCCGGGTCGCAGATTGGGCCATCGCTGGCGTGGCCGGATTAACCAATAGCACCAGCAACAGACCCGCAAGTGCCGGGAGCAGGGCAAACGGAGGGCACCATGGGCGGAGGCTGTGGCCGAAAGGCGCGGGAGGCGCTTCTGAAGGCATAGGGAGAGGCCGAGGCAAAGGCAGGGAGAGGCAGGGAGAGGCAGCGGGGGG